ACCACAAATATTTAATCAAAACCCTGACCCCTCCTTAAAGTGCATGTGCGTAACTTAAGAAAGTTCTTAGGCCCATTTTCAATAGTTCTGATAGTTGGAATGGTCTGAAAAGACCCGAAATTAAATATATGATTAAATTCTTATATTGGTCAACCCCTTCCCCTGTGGGGTCCACGACCTCCGATTAATAATCTGAAAGTTCCTATAGGTTCATAAAAATCCAATTAACATATCCTATGAGTTTCGTCAAGATTTGATAGTCCGAAAATATCAAACCCTAATTATGTCTAATATGTAAAAATTGGTTTTATACTCAAACGGTAACAAAAAATTAATCTGAGCATACTATAGGGTTCTTTTTGTTCCAGCAGCTTGATGAATGGGCTTGGGCTGTTGTAAGAGAAAGACAAACAAAATTCCCCTGCGTATGAGTTCAAGCACCAGGCTCCAAAAGAATTTCGAAAAGTTTGTGAACCTTAGAAAACATTTCGGGGTTTCTTTCACCAATAATTAGATGAACGTGACAAAGTGATAATACGGCTTGGCTTGAAAAGCTTGTGGCATGGGAGCTAAGCCTTCATGAGTTTAGCCATAGAGAGAGAAAGAGCATGAATTTCTTAATGAAATAAAGGCTTAAAGTAAAGGGGAGAGAGAGTAAACTAGGGAGATTTTGACTGAAGAAGAGGGAGAGAGATGGGAATGGAGAGTGGGGTGTCTTGAGTGAATTTCCAATTGCTTGACCAAGCTTGGTCGCACTCTAGACTATCCTTTTGATGGGTAGAAGAAGCCTCCTTTTATAAGCACTTTGACCCCTTAATTTTATCAGACCTCCTCCTTGCTTTTCACTCACTTTCTTCCATTTATTCTTATTTGGTGAAATTCCCCTGCCTAGCGTGCATAGGTAACAAGCCTTTTGGGGTTCCAAGATTTTTACACAGCTGGACCTCTTCATGTGGGTGAGGCGCCACTTGCTTTTCTTCTTGGTTTCCTTATTAGAGCTCACAGAGGAAAGGAGAATGGATAGAGCTTTTGCCTAATGGGTATTCCTCCCACACGTACGAATTCTCTTTGATTTTTTGCAATGGCTTCATGTTGACTCTGCTATGAAGCTTTGGCAAGGGCTAAACACAAGGCTAGATATTTTATTAGGTATTGGGCTAGGCTTTTCCTACGGTATTGGGTCATTGGCCTCTTGTTTCCAAAAGTCAGCTAAATCTTTCATGGTTTCGTCAAGCTGCTGTAAGTAGCTTATTTGCTCTTCTTTTGACAATATGTTGTGTGCCTTAGCTGATGAGAGGCTCTCCTAAAAGTTGCAAACCACTACATATTTTCTTAAGTTGCTAGGTCATGTTTTTCTCTTTCTCTATTGCTTACCCATGTGCTTGGGCCCAAGAAATGGGCTTGAGTTTTGGCGCTCCCAAGCAGCTCAAAACTTCCATCCCTTGAACCCACAATGGGCCTCGTGAGGGCTCGTACCCATCCATACCACAACCTTCTCAGCAAGCCCCGGATTTTACGTGGCTTGGGCCCATTTGATCATGTAGCGTGGCTTGGTATTTATAGTAGTGATCCTTTTGCCTGTCATTGCGTGTATATTTGGCATGTTTGAACTCCAGGGTAAGGTAATAGGTTGTGATCAAGCTAAATAGTATGTTAATAGGTTGGTGAACATGGGCTTATAGTGGCAGGACTCGACCCAAATTCTACTTTGGAATCTACGCCAAATCCTGTGCATGTCTGACACCTAGCAGGTGCTAAACGCACTTGACCAAATTGCCCTTCTATCAAAAACCAAATTTTACCTCAAGTTTGACTTTTGTCGAAAATTCGTCAGAATCTCCCCTGTAAATACTTGATTCCCAAAAATTTTACACCTATTTGAAAAACAATTTATAACCACAACCGGTCAGCATGCACCAAGTTTGAATTCAAACAATCAAATCTCAAATCTTTACGGCCTCAAGCCTTTTTAAAACAAATAAATCATTTTGCCAAAACTTAAACTAGGCCCACTGTTAAAACATTTAGAAAACTCAATTAAATCCCATGCTATACTCATACAGAAATCACACATGCGTATTTATATTTATATAACAATTCTCCTGTTTGCATAAATCACCACATTAGTTTAAGGCATTGAAAATAAGATTTCTCGTCCACCCAGGTGTACGCATCATATATCCGTAAATTCCTCAATTTTCCATTTAATTCCCACATTATACCGTCAAATCCTCGTGCCACAGTTTGTGACACGTCCTCGCAAGTCTCGTTAACACAAAGTTGACCCGAGCCGCAATCCTCGCAGGACTCAAGGGACATTTAGTCACCCTGATCTGCATTCCTCGCTTCGCACGGTTCGGATATTCCTAAGACTCGTGGGGCAACTGTCAAACGAGCTGACATAATCGAAGGCAACAATTTATTCCGAAGGCAACATGGGTACCTATGGTGGTTTAAAAACATTTCCTGGAAATTATAAAACTATTTCTCATCCATCCTTAAATCCTATTGCCATTATTCTTCCTCTTTCCACGCCATTCTCAATTTAAATATAAACATAATATAATAAAAGTATTCGAGATCAAATAATTATGCTTGGAAAGTAATAACCATAAATAAATTATTCAAACTCAATTGATGAAACTTTGATTGCATAAAATTCATTTATAAAACAAAAGTCCACTCACTTGGTCTCGTGGCTACACCTAGTAATTCTAGATTGCCTACGTACTCTTACTAAGGGATCAAGCCTTATGTAGTTCTTTCCCTTTGTTTTATTGACAAGTTAAGTATTCAACTATTATATTTACCACCTGTTTTGCAACATCAAATGTGAAAGGAAATTGAAAATAAGAAAATAATGAGAGGAGAATAACTTTTAAATTGGAAAATAAACACAAGGAGAAAAAAAAAGAACATGCATATAAAATCAAATAACAACATAGAAACTTCACTTAAGAAAATATACATAAATTATATAAAATCCTTAAAACTTAGAAACTCTTAATCCTTATCTCTTAAGTAGGAAAATATATATTAAAACATTTTCTCATAAATACCAAGATAAAATCTCAAGTTTTAATTTATAATATCTCAAAACTTAAATACTCTCCACCTAGGCATACCCCCATTTGTGATACATCAATTTCATTATTATCGTCAATTCTAGGGGTGGTTGGGGTTCGGTAACAACGAATTTTTACCCAAACCGCAAACCGACCGATTATTTGCGGTATAGTGATTTTTGAAACCACAAACCAACAGCAAAAAAGCAGTCGGTTAGTGTGAATTAAAGGTTTAAAACCGCAAGTTCTTTTTGTATCATAAAAATCCAATCTTCCACATTTTAGGCCTAATTTTGATGCTTCTTTTGAAGCCTTTTGATTTCAAGCATACTTTAACCCAAAAATATAAATTCACAACCTAAATAAATAAATTCACAACCTCAACTTTTCAAGCATATATAAATTCACAACCTCCTCAACTTCTCAAGCATTCACAACCTAAAGAAAATTAAAGTTACAATTCCAAGCATTCCAATTAAAGTTAAACTTCTCAAGCATTCACAACCTAACTTCTCAAGTATTCCAATTCCAAATCCTTTAAAGTTACAAACCAAAAGGAAAATGCAATGTAAAATGAATTAAAGTTACAATCCAAAGGAAAAATCCAATTCAAAGTTAATTAAAGTTACAAACTAAAAGGAAAATGCAATGCACCAATGTTACAAACTCAAGTGTTGGTGGTGGTGAGCGGATTTGAAGGACCCTGTTGTGTTGTTTGAGCACCAATGCTATCTACAAAATGCAATTTTTTTTTAAAAATAGTCGCGGTTTGCGGTAACCGCAAGTTTTGAAAATCAATTACCGTAACCGCAACCGCAAATGCGGTTCGGTTCTTCATACTGCAAATGAGATTCAGTTTCCCGCGATTGCAGTTCCATTGAGATAAATTGTCGGTTGGTTTTTGCAGTTTTTCGGTCTAAAATGCCACCCCTAGTCAATTCCAATGTTAATCCGTCAATTCCATTAATACCGTCAATTCTAATATTAATCAACACTTGTTTACATATAAATTCCATATAATACTATATTCCACTATTAAAACAATATGCTTTCATAGATAACCAGATATCGCTCAGTCATATACTTAATAAAAATCATAATAATAATAATAGATAAATAACAATATAAACTTCGAACATCATAATAACACCTAAGAATACCATAAAACACCATAACATAAACTCGTAATCCAAACATAATCAGAACAGTTCATAAACAATTAAACCTTTTTACACAGTCGTTCTAGCACTACTCGAAGGACAATACTATCTCAGAAGACTCACGGTTAATCGAGGGTCAAACTTCCCACACTAGGTAAAACGGGCCCGTGGGGCCCACAACTCCATTTTTCGGATCTGAAAGTTCCTACACGTTCAACCAAATTTACTAAACATGCCCTACAAGTTTAATTTCAATCGAGCAGCTGGATCACTCGCGATCACATGATCGGAAAGATGTCATTTAATGCAAACTTTACATTATTGAATCAGAACATCCGGGACTCCGATTCACGATCCGCGAATTCCTACACGATCCTAGGAATGCATAGATCAACATATATTAAATTGGAGTCAATCCAACGGCCTAAACCTATCGAACCCGGATAACGCCTAATATGCGATATCCGATCGACGATCAAACAATATCCAAACCACAGGGAAAACTTATACCTACATGATCAGCACCTAGAGTGGAGCAACTTTTGTTCTTGGATCTACCCAAAAAGTCGACAGAAGTGGCCGAAATCGGAGGCCCAAAATTGGCCAAACTCTCATCGCTTATTTGATTTGCTAAATGCAGAAATTTATCAAAACTAATACAACTAGTAGTAATAACAGCTAGAGAGGTTGAAAAACCACACTTGGATTGTCTGAAACGGTGGCCGGAGATGCTCAAACGAGCTTCGAAAATTTTCTGCAAAGTTTGGTGTGTTTTATGCAGATTCCGGCAGCCTGGCTGCGTTGCGGGGGCGGCGACGGGGTAGGAAAAGTCAGGGAAGGAGCAGTGGTTCGAATGGGATTGGTCCTGGCCCGAGTGGCGGCCGGTGGTGGCGGTGAAACCGTTGTTGCTATGCTTCGAGGGGGGGAGTCGGATTTGAGCCCACTATGTGTCTACAGACTCGTCTCGATGTGCTCTACGCAATGGTACAACTGAAATGCTCAAATTCCTTCCAATCAAAAAGTTAACTTTTAAACTATTAAAATATTACGGGGGTAAAATTGTCTTTTATTAATAATTAAAAATTGATTTAGGATTGGTTTGTTACATACAGAGCCGGTACATTTTTTACTAGCTCGTTTTTGACCCTTCTGCATGGCGGGTTTGCGTGTTTGCTTGGCATGTCATGCGACCCATGATTTATACGGGTGTATGTGACAAACATACACCCTAGTTGGGTTTCTTTCTCGCTTAAATATTGCACTGGGCTAAAATTAAACTTGGGCCCAACCTTGGATTTTTGGGCCTTAACACATACCACCGTGCTCGGGACAACCTAGGAATAATTTTAGGCTAAAAAGTACGCAGGTGGCCTTGGCCTACGGTGGGTGCGTTGAGTAATTTCCGGTGACTGGAAAATATCAAAATCTCATGCCAATACCTATGCCAATTTTTTAAGTGATAAGGTCATAATTTCACACATTTGCATGCCTTCTTTGCTTAGTAATTTTGTTTAGCTTCCCTTTATTTTGAGTCTCTTACCTATGTTTGTGTGTTTTGTAGGTTAAGACAGCAAGGGGATGACATTTGATACAATTCATGCATGTTAAGGGCTGAGTGGCACATGAGGAATATGAGCTTAAAGACAAAACCAATTTGAGCCACACACCTTGTCAGTCTAGTTTCGTAGGTCATCTTGCGGGCCTCATTTCAGCAACTTACACAGATCGGATGAGGAGACATCCTTGATAGGAGTTGTTCCAATGGGTGTCTATTATAACATATCCACATTTCAGCCCAATTGGATAAATATGGAGCCCTCAGCACGTCAATGACTGAACCAAGTTCACAGAAATGTCATGTTGGCTGCCATCACATTTAATGTGGCTACATCCCTAGAGCCATGTGCTACACATAGGCAGCCATACATGGGAGTCAAATAAGCTCAGGAACTCAGAAAGATGAACAAAAGTCAAGCTTTCCATAAAGAGACCATACCAAAGCATGTATTTGGCAGCTGGAGCAATTGGCAAGTATGTCAGCTGGAGTAGTTGGCAAGTATGGGCAGCTAGAGCAGTTGGGAGCAGCTAAGAGAGGTGTGCTTCACCAGCCAAAGGGGAGGACGAAATTGCACTCTATAAATAGAGAGCTGCACACTCATTCAAGGGGGGCAAACACACACATTCACTTCATCCATTACTCTCATACACACATTCAGATTCACCACAAAGTAAAGAGAGTTTGGAACTGTCCTGGGAACTACATAGCTGCCAGCTAGTTTTTCTCTTCTCTTTATTCTATCTATGTATTTCTTATTTTCTTTATTCATAGTTATGTCTAACCAATCCATTTAGTTAGGGCTTAGGATGAAGCCCTAGTCATGAATATTCAATGTTATGGATGATTTTATAGTTAATTGATTTCCTTGCTTTCATTATCAAGTTGTTAATCTCCAGTTTATTATGTGTTTGATGTATGTTTTCTTAGAGTAGATAACTAGGATTTTATGCATCTAGCACAGGTTGGGAAGGGTTTTAGATTCACCAATTCTACTCTCCTTTCACAAGCAACACATGAATTACCTAAGAATTATTCAAGGAGTTAATAACCATAGGTTGACTAGGACAGATACCATGTTCTAGGACTTGTGTGATTATCATATTCTCATGGAGTTTAATGACTCTTGTATGCTTTATTCTAAGTAGATATCATGCTTAGGTTGCATATTAGAGATCACGTGTTGTGTAGATACCATGCACAATTACATGCCTTAGGAGAATCATGCATCCTGCACTAGATACCATAGGCTTGTATGCGATAATCTATTGTTGATGAAGCTTGAGTCAATTTCTATGCATTCATAACTTGGATAGGGAAACTAGTGGTGGATTCCAACAAAACTCCCCATTTCGAGTGCGTGTGTGGTGCTAGGATTCTGTCATAGACCTTGAGTAATTAGCAAGATGCATTGTTGATTCAACCTTGCCTTTAGCTAGTCAGTCAGTTTATTTGTTCTATGTTTTTCTAGCATTCTAAGTAATTTAACTTGGAACCAAGTTACCATTCTCCGTGGGATCAACCTCGTATTTACATAAGCTATATTATAAACGGTTCGTGCACTTGCGAGAATTAAAGTTGCTATTTTTAATAACTCATTTTAGTTGTTAAGAATTGGCTCAACATTAAGCACCTTAAATGGAGTGTTTTTAACTCTTGGACCCCAGCCAAAAAGTGGCCAGAAACAATCAAATTCAAGACCAAACCGTCGGAGCATATGGGTGTTTAAATCAAACTTCCAAATCACAAAATCGATCGAAACTACCTACAATAACGGATAGAGCACTTTGAGAGGATGAAAAACCATACCTCACTCGTCGGAATTGGTAGCTAGAGTTGCCTGAAAATAGAGGAGGAAAACCATCGAAACTTCCCTCGTTTCCAGTCGCTTTAACCTGCGATTTTGAGCCGCAAAAACTAGTGGGTTGGTTAGAGGATGAAGAGAGAAGAAGAAAGAGTGTAAGATTGGGTCATGAGGTGGCTGAAAACTGTGGCAAATGGCCGGCGAAATCCGGCCAAATGGAGGTGTCGAATGGGGGAGAGAGAATGGAGAGAATTCGTGCGGAAGGAGAAAGGGAATAACCCAATTCAATTTGATCAGCGTTTTTTTTTTCACTTTCCTTTTTTAGACTTTTTCTCTTTCGTTACAACTCAAAATTGAGCATGTGGTATACCCACGAACTCATATCGACGAGCTCGATGCAAAGGTGCAGCTCAATTCCCTAAATCCTTTCCCGAACAAAAAGTCAATTTTAAACCCATTAAAACACCATAAGGGTGAAATTATATTTTACTTTAATATTAATTTAGGAACGTGATATCATGTCATTCAATAAATAGTTTGGTAATAGGGTGTTCTCAATTAATTTTAAGGTTCTTTTAATAGTACCCTTGATTAATTAGGATGCATAAATATAGTTCCATTCACCTTAAAACCTGAAAATGAGGTCCCTGACACATAATTAGTAGTTTAAATTCTCACTCATGCTCCTTATTTTACATGAACAAACTCTAACTAGCCTCTCCACACACGCTTTCGCCCTTGTAAGAGGCTTTTAAAAAAAAATAAATAAATAAATTTATTTTAGAATTAAAAAAGATAATGGGCAGTTGTGTTCCATAAAAATAGGATCCATTATCTGAATTTTCTTTTAATTTTAATTTTTTATATATGAAAAAGTGTGAATTTACCATATTATCATCATTTAATTAATAATTTCAATTCTTAATGTTTGCATTAACCAATGACATTTTCTAGTATTTTGAATGTTTTACCATTATCTGCCTTTTGCTTTATTTATATAGATTAAAAAAAAACAAAGGAAATTAAAATTAAAATTAGGGATTCACGTTCAATCTCTCAACTTCCCCCACCATCTGAACCTTGTCGGAACCTTAGATCGGTTGCTCCAGTCAACCCTACCCACCCAGAAATCCCTTCTCCTCTTCCCTCTTCCATCTTCTCACCCGAAAAAAAAATAACAAAAAACCATCACACTTTCAAAATCTAAAATCAAACCAAGAAGCTGCATGACCCCTAGCTAGGAAGATGCGCAAGCAACCTCGTATTTCGTATATCTTCAAAAAAATAATAAAAAATCAACATGTACAGTAGTTATAAAGGCTTTGTGGCACCATTGTTGGCCACAAGGGTCCAGCCACGCTAGCGACTGCGAACTCCCAAATCCCACGCCCAAGCTACACCCCCACACCACCACCCACCCATCCATCATAGCAATTGCTCCCCCAACTCACCCATCACTGCACTCATCCCCCCACCCCCAACAACATTGATGGATCTCACTCCCTGAAATCCTTTTCTCTACCCATCTCTCTCCAATTTCGAAAACCAAAAAATTGAAAGAAAAAAAAAACTTCGAATATTGTTTGCATCTTTGTTTTTTGTTTTTAAATTAGAATAATTGGGGTTTGTTTTGGTAAAATAGGGCGCATTAGTGCAGGTTTAAATTACCAATTATATGGGTCATTTGATTAAGGCTTGTGAGGACCTCATTTTTAGGTCCTTAGGTGAGCGGGACTGTATTCATGCATCCTCAAACCTTCATATTCACAAACAGAGATTGGTTATGTCCAAGAAATTAAGGAATACAAACTAAATTACAATAAATTTTTAGTTAGAGGTAGATAATTTAAAGATGATTAATTTTATACAACTAAGAAAGCAATTTTAATTTCCTATTATTGATAAGTTCATAATTTCATACATTCGCATGACTTCTTTACTTAATGACTTTGCTTAGTTTCTCTTTATTTTGAGTCACTTACCTCTTTTTGTTTGTTTTGTAGGTTAAGACAGCAAGAGATCACATTTGATGCAATCCATGCTTGTTAAGGGCTGATTGGGATAAGAGGAATATGAGCTTAAAGACAAACCCAATTTGGGCCACACTCCTTGTCAGTCCAGTTTCGTGGGTCATCTTGCAGTTCTCATTTCAGCAACTTACACAGGTCGGATGAGGAGACATCCTTGATAGAAGTTGTTCCAATGGGTGTCTATTATCACATATCCAAATTTCAGCCAAATTGGATAAATCTGGAGCCCTCAGCACGTCAAAGACTTAACCAAGTTCACAGAAATGTCATGTTGGCTGCCATCACATTTAAATGTGTCTACATCCCTAGAGCCATGTGCTAAGTATGGGCAGCCACACATGGGAGTCAAATCAGCTCAAAAACTCAGAAGGATGAACAAAAGTCAAGTTTTCCATTAAAAAATCATACCAAAGCATGTATTTGGCAGCTGGAGCAGGTGGCAAGTATGGGCATCTGGAGCAGGTGGCAAGTATGGGCTGCTAGAGTTGTTGGGAGCAGCTAAGAGAGGTGTGCTTCACCAGCCAAAGGAGAGGACGAAATTGCACTCTATAAATAGAGGGCTGCACACTAATTTAAATTACATAGAGAGTCAGATACACATTTTCACTTCACCCATTACTCTCATACACAAATTCAGATTCACCACAAAGAGATAAGAGAGTTTGGAGCTGTCCTGGGAATTCCTTGCTGTCATCATCTAGTTCTTCTCCTCTTTTTATCCTATCTATGTATTTCTTATTTTCTGTATTCATAGTTATGTCTAACTAATCCATTTAGTTAGGGCTTAGGATGAAGCCCTAGTCATGAATATTCAATGTTATGGATGATTTTATAGTTAATTGATTTCCTTGCTTTCATTATCAAGTTGTTAATTTCCAGTTTATTATGTGCTTGATGTATGTTTTCTTAGAGTAGCTAACTAGGATTTTATGCATCTAGCACAGGTTGGGAAGGGGTTTAGATTCACCAATTCTACTCTCCTTTCACAAGCAACACATGAATGGCCTAAGAATCATTCAAGGGGTTAATAACCATAGGTTGACTAGGATAGATACCATGTTCTAGGACTTGTGTAATTATTATATTCTCAAGGAGCTTAATGACTCTTGTGTGCTTTATTCTAAGTAGATACCATGCTTAGGTTGCATATTAGAGATCACATGTTGTGTAGATACCATGCACAATTACAGGCCTTAGGAGAATCATGCGTCCTGCACCTAGATACCATAGGCTTGTATGCAATAATATGTTGTTGATGAAGCTTGAGTCAATTTCTATGCATTCATAACTTGGATAGGAAAACTAGTGGTGGATTCCAAGGCTCTAACACCTCTCAATTATTGTTTCACAATCTGTCCAGTGTTTACTTTCGAGCACTTTCATTTCCATTTCTTCTTTTCATTTCAACAACAAAACCGCCCATTTTGAGTGCGTGTATGGTGCTAGGATTCTGTCCTAGACCTTGAGTAATTAGCAAGAGGCATTGTTGAATTCGACCTTGCCTTTAGCTAGTGAGTCAGTTTCCTTGTTCTATGTTTTTCTAGCATTCTAAATAATTTAACTTGGAACCAACTTACCATTCTCCGTGGGATCGACCTCGTATTTACATAAGCTATACTGTAAACGGTTCGTGCACTTGCGAGAATTAAAGTTGCTATTTTTAATAACTCATTTTAGTTGTTAGGAATTGAATCAACAAGTTTTTGGCGCCGTTGCCGGGGAACCGGTAACGTTGGTGCTATAGTTAGATTACTTTGATTGTTTTGTTTTTGTTTGTTTCATTTGTTTCTTTTCGTCGGTTTTTCTTTTAGTATTCAGTTTTTGTATTTAGTTGTTATCTCCATTGAAAGCACTAAATTGAGTTCCTTGGTGTGTGCATGTCCGAATCTGACCAGGAGCAAAGTTCACCTGAGCCACTTTCACCAAGAACCGCTGTTGTACGTGCTGGTTTGAGGAGGAATTATAGTTCTTCAAGCACTGATTCTAAAAGTTTCGAATTTGAAGGTTCAAGCACGATGGCAGAGATTCCGAACAACAACAATAATGTTGAAGGAGGTGGTGCGCTTGTTGTCCAACCTCGAAAACCCCAGCGTGAGTTTTCCATTCCCAAAGTCACCGATCAACCTTCGTGCATCGTCTATCCTCAACTCACAGTTGACAGGTTTAAGCTTAAAAGTGGTATGATTTATCTTCTTTCAACTTATTATGGTAATACCACTGAGGATCCTTACATGCATATTAAGCAATTCTTTGAAATATGTGCTACGATCAAAATTCATGGCCTTGATGATAAGCAGATTAAGATGAGGCTATTCCCATTCAGTTTAAAAGATAAGGCTAAGTCTTGGTTATACTCTTTGCCTAATGCTTTAATTTGTACTTGGGATGAGCTTTCTAATAAGTTTTTGCAGAAATTCTTTCCGGCTCAAAAGACTAACAAGATTAGAAAGGAAATCCTTGGTTTCACACAAAGGAAGGAGAAGCTTTTCATGAATGTTGAGAGAGGTACAAGGAGATGATAAGTTCTTGCCCACACCACAACATAGAGAGTTGGATGCAAATGCAATCTTTCTATGAAGGTTTGCTTGATTCCGAAAGGATGATGGTAGATGCAACAAGTGGAGAAGGACTGATGAACAAAACATCAGATGAGGCTTTTACTCTCTTTGAATCCTTGAGTGCTAACTCTCAACAATGGAGTCACAATAAAGGAAGAGGAGCTCCTATGAAAGCTGTGGTCTCTGAGGTAAGTACTAATAATGAGATTGCTGCAAAACTTGATGTTATGTGTTCTTTGCTTCAACAGGCAGTGACTGGCCCTCTAAGAAACAAAGTAGAAGTTCAAGATCAATCTTTTGCAGAGCACATGCTAGAACAAGCAAATGCCCTTCAAGCAAAGAATCCTAATAATGATCCTTACTCAAACATGTACAATCCGGGGTAGAGAAATCGTCCTAATTTCAAGTGGAGCAATAACCCAAATGTGCAACAATCTCAAGGACTTCCCCCAGGATTTCAAATACAACAAAGGCAATTCCAGCAAGCTCCCCAACAAGTGCAAGAGCAAAGGGGTGATCAAATGGGAGAATTGCAAGACATGTTCAAGAAGTTCATGGGGCAACAGATGCAAACCAATCAGAATCTTCAAAATGCAGTGAACAAACTATAAGTGCAAGTTGGGCAGATTGCATCCTCCATGAGCAATAGGGCATCCGGAACCTTTCCAAGCCAAACAGAGGTGAATCCAAGGCATCAAGAGCATGCTAAAGCAGTACACATCTTAAGAAGTGGTAAACAAGTTGATAACAAGGTTGGAGAAGTCAATGAAGAGCAAGAAGATGGAGAAAATGTGGAGATCATTCAGCCACCACATGGGCAGCCCACAGCTTCCAACAAACAGTCCCTCAATCCTTCTGGAAAGAGCACAAACCCTAAGGTATCATCTAATGCTAATCAAGTTCCAATTTTAACTAATGCTTTTAGGCCTATTGCACCCTTTCCCAGCAGGTTATTAGTCAAAGAAAGATCAAGGCTTGGATGAGATAATGGAAACATTCAAGAAGGTGCAAATCAACATCTCATTGCTCAATGCCATTGCTCAGATTCCAAAGTATGCAAAATTTTTGAAGGATCTATGCACTAACAAGAGGAGATTCAAAGAGCATGAACAAGTTGCATTGAGTGAAGAGGTAAGTGCAGTGTTACAAAGAAAGCTACCTCCAAAGCTAAAGGATCCAGGTTCGTTTTCTATACCTTGCATAGTTAGTGATTTTAAGTTTGAAAAAGCTTTGCTTGATCTTGGTGCTTCTATAAACCTTATGCTATATCATGTTTATGACAAACTTAACCTTGGTGAGTTGCAAGCCACATCTGTGAGCATTCAATTAGCAGATAGAACTATTAGGTACCCTAAGGGCATTCTAGAAGATGTTTTGGTGAAAGTGGAAGAGCTAATTTTGCCAGCAAATTTCTTGGTGTTGGAAATGGAAGAAGCACCAATTCATGACAATCAGTTACCATTCATTCTAGGTCGGCCATTCATGGCAACTGCCGGTGCTATTATTGATGTGAAGAAGGGTACATTGACCATGACTGTGTTTATTGAGACAATAGCATTCAAAGTGTTTGAAGCCTCCAAGTTTCCAAGTGATGAGCATGAAGTTTTCTAGCTTGATGCAATTGATAATATGGTGAAAGAAGCACTGCCAATGAGTTATTTGGAGCCTATTGAAGCATGCATCACACAAAGCATAAGGAAAGAAGAAGTGGACATCTTAGAGGTTGTGATCTCTCCTTTACTTTTTGAGCTTGTTTGCAGCATGGATAGCTACATAGAAGTTGGAAAGAGGTATGCAAACCAATTTGAATCATTACCCCCACCTACTAATAAGGTTTTACCTTCTATTTTGCAAGCACCAGAGTTGGAATTAAAGCAATTGCCAAAACACCTTAAATATTCTTATTTAGGTAAAAATGAGACTCTACTTGTTATCATTGCCTCACACCTCAAACCAAATGATGAGAAGAAGCTTTTGAGAGTTCTAAGAGAGCACAAAACTGCAATTGGGTGGAGCATTGCAGATATCAAAGGCATAAGTCCAACACTATGCATGCACAAGATATTATTGGAAGACAAAGCAATGCCTAATAGGGATGCCCAAAGACGTCTCAATCCAAATATGAAGGAGGTGGTAAGGAAAGAGGTAATTAAGCTTTTAGATATTGGTATTATTTACCCTATATCTGATAGTAAATGGGTGAGCCCAGTGCAAGTTTTCCCCAAGAAATCAGGTATCACAGTGGTGAATAATGAAGCAAACGAGCTTGTACCTACATGGGTGACCACGGGCTGGAGAGTTTGCATTGATTATAGGAAGCTCAACACAGCAACAAGCAAGGATCACTTCCCTCTTCCATTCATTGATCAGATGCTTGAGAGATTGGTTGGCCATAACCACTATTGCTTTCTTGAAGGATATTCAGGGTACAACCAAATCGCCATAGCCCCAGAGGATCAAGAGAAGACGACCTTCACATGTCCCTTTGGCACTTTCGCTTATAGGAGGATGTCTTTTGGTCTCTGTAATGCCCCAGCCACTTTTCAAAGGTGCATGATGAGCATTTTCTCCGACATGGTAGAAAGGTTCATTGAGGTATTCATGGATGACTTCTCTGTTTTTGGTGATTCTTTTGATTAATGCTTGCATAACTTATCCAAGGTGTTAGTTAGATGTGAACAGACTAACCTTGTTTTTAATTGGGAAAAATGTCATTTTATGGTTAACCAAGGCATAGTTCTTGGTCATGTCATCTCTAGTAAAGGGACCGAGGTAGATAAAGCTAAGATTGATTTGATTGCCCCCATGCCCTCACCTACTTATGTCAAAGAAGTACGTTCTTTCCTTGGCCATGCAGGTTTCTATAGGCGTTTCATTAAGGAATTTTCTAAGATTGCGAGGCCTTTGTGCAATCTTCTTGCCAAAGACATGGATTTTTTTCTTTGATCAAAACTGTGAGAATGCTTTTAATGCTTTGAAGAAGATGCTCACAACTGCCCCAATCATTATACCACATGATTGGAGCTTGCCTTTTGAATTGATGTGTGACGCCTCAGATTATGATGTTGGAGCCGTTTTGGGACAGCGAATTGATAAGAAGCCACATGCCATCTACTATGCTAGTAGAACCCTCAATAATGCCCAACTCAACTATTCCACCACAGAGAAGGAGCTGTTAGCTGTCATATTTGCTTTGGAAAAGTTCAAATCATATTTGATTACTAACGAGGTTATTGTTTACACTGATCATGCAGCATTAAAATACTTGTTAGCCAAGAAGGATGCCAAGCCACGACTCATTAGATGGATTCTCTTATTGCAAGAGTTTGACCTGGAGATAAAAGATAACGAAGAGGAGGATTCATTGCCATTACATGAAAGCTTCCCTGATGAGCAACTCTTTTCCATTTGTGCTTTAAATTCTCTCAATCCATTGCCTTGGTTTGCTAATATTGTTAACTATTTGTGCACTAATGAACTCCCTACAGGGTTATCTACGTTCCAACGTGACAAGCTTAGGAAGCAAGCAATATACTACTTTTGGGATGATCCATATCTATTCAAGCATTGCCCAGACCAAGTAATTCGAAGGTGTGTGCCTGAAGGTGATTTTAAGAGTATTCTAGAGTTTTGTCACTCCCACGCATGTGGAGGCCATTTTGGAGCAAAGAAGACTGCCAACAAAGTGCTACAAATCAGGTTTCTTTTGGCCTACCCTTTTTAAGGATGCTTATGTTTTTTGTGCTTCATGTGATAGATGCTAACGGATGGGTAATTTACATGCTAGAAATCAGATGCCTCTCACCAATATCCTAATCATTGATATATTTGATGTTTGGGGAATTGATTTCATGGGCCCTTTTCCTACCTCTTATGGATTTGAATATATATTTGTTGCTGTCGATTATGTTTCTAAATGGGTGGAAGCCATTGCCACTAAAACTAATGATGCTAAGGTTGTGATTGGTTTTCTCAAATGAAATATTTTTACAAGATTTGGCACATCTAGAGCAATCATTAGTGATGGTGGCTCCCACTTTGTTAACCAAGCTTTTGCAGCACTCTTGAAGAAATATGGAATCACGCATAAGGTGGCAACACCCTATCATCCTCAAACTAGTGGGCAGGTTGAGATAAGCAATAGGGAGATTAAGCACATACTTGAAAAGACAGTGAACATCACAAGGAAGGATTGGTCGATGCATTTGGATGATGCATTGTGGGCTTATAGGACTGCTTATAAGACCCCTATAGGTATGTCTCCGTATAGGCTTGTTTTTGGTAAACCTTGTCACTTACCAGTGGAGCTTGAGCATAGGGCTTATTGGGCAATCAAGGCCTTCAATTTTGATATGAAAGCTGCTGGTGAGAAGAGGAGGCTTCAACTCAATGAATTGGAGGAGTTGCGACATGAAGCGTATGAGAACGCTAAGCTTTACAAGGAGAAAACAAAGCAATATCATGACAAGAAAATTTTTAGGAAGACGTTTGAGAAAGAGCAGAAGGTTCTACTATTTAATTCACGCCTTAAGCTCTTCCCAGGTAAGCTTCGTTCTCGATGCATTGGCCCTTTTGTTATTACTAATGTGTTTGATCATGGCGTAGTGGAGATTCAAAATATTAAGGATGGCAGCACCTTCAAGGTGAAAGGACATCGGTTGAAACCTTACTTTGATGCCAACTTTGATGCCAATATTGAGTCTCAAGCACCCAAGGAGCCTCCACCACTCTCTTGATGCTCACTAGAGTTTGGACGTCCGGCTGAAGACATAAAACTTAGCGCTTCTTGGGAGGCAACCCAAGGTGACGAGGAGAAGATAGAACATGCAAGGAAGCCTGCTTGTGTCCTAATCGCTTCAAATGGGAGTTTTTTGAACTCTAACCTTTGGTTATGTCTTTACCTTATCTTCTTTCCTTTCTTTTACGAGGCATTGCTTTTTCTTACACTCTAAACATTGAGGACAATGTTTCATTTAAGTTTGGGGGGAAGGATTTAGTTATGTTGTTTCAAATTGTCAAATTTTAAAATTTTGAGTGTGTCTAATGGCCAAAAATGCAGTTTTTTGTATGTTGTTTCGTTATCCTTCCAAAAACCTATGATAAGACTTGGATCTAATACTAATATGGTTTCTCAGAAATTGATAGTCATTGTTTAAGGACTTTCTGTGGTTCTGAGTTAACTCTATCTTGCATGCCATCCTTGCACTTATTGAGCACTTTGCCAAGTTAGTCCAATTTCTTGCTACTTGGAGACATTATGCAATTCTACTTATCTTATGATCTTGGTTTCGGACTCTAGAACTTATTTGAATATCTCTTGAGACATTTTGTTGCCATACAATGCTTAGGAAGTGATTTAGGCCATGTTTGAACCGTTTGAGCCTTTCTAACCATCCCTCTACATGTATTCATCCCTAGTCAACCCATTTGAGCCCACGTTAAGCCTTTCTTTGTGTAAACCATTCCTACCATAATGAACCTTTGTTTTCTTATTCTTACTTATTCTATGAGCAATTAAAGCTATCTTCAAAAGAGAGTTATAAAGAAGAATGCAAGGTTTTTGGAGCAAAAGTGAATCATTAGTGCCATAACCCAAGTGTTGAAAAGAAATATTTTGGCGGTATTGGTAACTCATCAAAAGAGGTAATGAAGTGTGACCAATGTAGTCACGGCCCTAGGGTGTTATAAAAGAGAAGATCATGGTGATCTAGGGTAAAGAGCCACAAAATTAGGCCAAATAAACAGATATGAAGGTGCTGAAATTATGTTGAAAATCTGCTCATATATGTGTTCCTTGCTTGTTACAAAGTTCAGTAATCTCTTATGCTCTTACCTATGCTTTAATTGTGCTCAAAATATTGTATATCTCATATCCCTTCTTTCATTCAACCACTACCCTAAACCTCATTACTACCCTTGTAAAGTCCTTTTGATCCTTGGTGTTGCATGGTATTATGTGGAGAGCAGATTGGATAATGAGGTTATGGGGTTCGGAATTTTTGATTTTGCTCTAAGTGTGTGCGCATGTACTTATTTGAGTTGCAGGTGTTGTTCTGATTTGGCATTCACACACTACACTTAAGGATGTCATTGTGAGCTTTGCTTTCTCGTGAATCATGTATGGAACTTAGATTGTGATTTTTATGTTTCTTTGGAACCATATACGTTGGTGATTCTTTGAGGATATTGTTCGGAAGGCTGTTGCGTATTTCCTGTTTCCTAAGTTGTAATTTTCCTTTGTTTTGCTCGAGGACTAGCAAAATCTAAGTTTGGGGGTATTTGATAAGTTCATAATTTCATACATTCGCATGACTTCTTTACTTAGTGACTTTGCTTAGTTTCTCTTTATTTTGAGTCACTTACCTCTTTTTGTTTGTTTTGTAGGTTAAGACAGCAAGAGATCACATTTGATGCAATCCATGCTTGTTAAGGGCTGATTGGGATAAGAGGAATATGAGCTTAAAGACAAACCCAATTTGGGCCACACTCCTTGTCAGTCCAGTTTCGTGGGTCATCTTGCAGTTCTCATTTCAGCAACTTACACAGGTCGGATGAGGAGACATCCTTGATAGAAGTTGTTCCAATGGGTGTCTATTATCACATATCCAAATTTCAGCCCAATTGGATAAATCTGGAGCCCTCAGCACGTCAAAGACTTAACCAAGTTCACAGAAATGTCATGTTGGCTGCCATCACATTTAAATGTGTCTACATCCCTAGAGCCATGTGCTAAGTATGGGCAGCCACACATGGGAGTCAAATCAGCTCAAAAACTCAGAAGGATGAACAAAAGTCAAGTTTTCCATTAAAAAATCATACCAAAGCATGTATTTGGCAGCTGGAGCAGGTGGCAAGTATGGGCTACTAGAGTTGTTGGGAGCAGCTAAGAGAGATGTGCTTCACCAGCCAAAGGGGAGGACGAAATTGCACTCTATAAATAGAGGGCTGCACACTAATTTAAATTACATAGAGAGTCAGATACACATTTTCACTTCACCCATTACTCTCATACACAAATTCAGATTCACCACAAAGAGAGAAGAGAGCTTGGAGCTGTCCTGGGAATTCCTTGCTGTCATCATCTAGTTCTTCTCCTCTCTTTATCCTATCTATGTATTTCTTATTTTCTGTATTCATAGTTATGTCTAACTAATCCATTTAGTTAGGGCTTAGGATGAAGCCCTAGTCATGAATATTCAATGTTATGGATGATTTTATAGTTAATTGATTTCCTTGCTTTCATTATCAAGTTGTTAATCTCCAGTTTATTATGTGCTTGATGTATGTTTTCTTAGAGTAGCTAACTAGGATTTTATGCATCTAGCACAGGTTGGGAAGGGGTTTAGATTCACCAATTCTACTCTCCTTTCACAAGCAACACATGAATGGCCTAAGAATCATTCAAGGGGTTAATAACCATAGGTTGACTAGGACAGATACCATGTTCTAGGACTTTGTGTATCATATTCTCAAGGAGCTTAATGACTCTTGTATGCTTTATTCTAAGTAGATACCATGCTTAGGTTGCATATTAGAGATCACGTGTTGTGTAGATACCATGCACAATTACATGCCTTAGAAGAATCATGCGTCCTGCACCTAGATACCATAGGCTTGTATGCGATAATCTGTTGTTGATGAAGCTTGAGTCAATTTCTATGCATTCATAACTTGGATAGGAAAACTAGTGGTGGATTCCAAGGCTCTAACACCTCTCAATTATTGTTTCACAATCTGTCCAGTGTTTACTTTCGAGCACTTTCATTTCACTTTCTTCTTTTCATTTCAACAACAAAACCCCCCATTTTGAGTGCGTGTGTGGTGCTAGGATTTTGTCCTAAACCTTGAGTAATTAGCAAGAGGCATTGTTGAATTCGACCTTGCCTTTAGCTAGTTAGTCAGTTTCCTTGTTCTATGTTTTTCTAGCATTCTAAGTAATTTAACTTGGAACCAAGTTACCATTCTCCATGGGATCGACCTCGTATTTACATAAGCTATACTATAAACGGTTCGAGCACTTGCGAGAATTAAAGTTGCTGTTTTTAATAACTCATTTTAGTTGTTATGAATTGAATCAACAATTATATAATCAACTTTTTACAACTCATGAATGAATCAGGAAACAGGAATGAAGAAAACACAATACGTACAATTAGCAAATCTCTGTCTTCTTATGCTACTAGCTCGTAGAAAATTAACCAATTAACTTTGTCACTAAATTAACGAAAGAGATTAAACAATTACATGACTTCACTCTCTTTCTGTTTCCATTCCAGCCCTATGAATTTGCATGGTGAAAACCTAACCTTGTATTCAGAAATGGTATCAAGCTTAGGCGACCACAATTGCTCTTTAGACCCAACAAGCTGTTCATAGTGCTTTTGCAACTCAGGCGTGCTACAAAGAAAACTATTGCTAGGGCTAGTAACAGGCGGCCCTTCAATTTCCTTATTATTAGCCCTCGTAATTAGCCTTGTTATGAAGTCTGGCACAACCTTGATCAAGACCTTCCCGTTCGAACCCTTTATGTACTCGAACGGGGACTCTCCGAAATTAATCGGAGCCTTCTTGTTGGGGCTTGAGGACGAGCCTAAGGCGGCGAGCGAGGAGGCCGAGAGGACCCTGCATGCGAAGCAATCAAGGGGGAGAACAAAGTAGGTCTGTCCATGAATGAGCTCATCGTCTATGGCTAACGCAGGGACGGGGTGGCCGATGAAGAAAGAGTCCGCATGGCAAACCATTTGGTCTGGAAACTCGAACATGATCTCTCCAGCTATGTGCTTTCCTCTGAGGAGTCTTGTGGTTCCTTCTGAAAATATAACTTTTACAGCTAAGTTTGTTTTCTGTTGAAAACACGGAGACACTGCATTGCCCATTTTGAGAGAGAGAGAGAGAGAGAGAGTTAGGATTATTAGTTGGCTTTTGGGTAAGGGACGAAGGGAGAGGGTTATTATATACAAGAGAGGGAATGAAATTGACTTGGAGAAAGTCTTGGTTTGTTTTCTTTTAAGATTTGGAGGGGTCGGTGGTCAGTTATGCCGGCTTTGACAATCTCTCTCTCTCTCTCGTGATGTGGTACGCCCTTAGCCACTCTTAGACATGTGATTACTACTTCTTTTAACGTCATCTTAAGCATCATATTATGCAATTACCCTAAATTCTATTAATCAAGTCGCAAAAATAAGTTGCAAGGCAAAAATATGAATGTGATGCCTTTATATAAATCAAATATATTATGTAGGTTGAATTGAGGATTCCTTAAATAAATTTGAGGGGCGCTGTTGTATATGCCCATTATATTTTGTGATTTAATAATTCAAACAGTTAATTGTAAAGTGTCAATCAAATTAGAAAATGTTTATTCAATTAAAAGGTAGAGATCTTAGTATTTTCTTAAACTATTATGTCAGTCTACTTATTTTATTACAATTAGATGGGTTTACAATTTGTATAATTTGTTTCAAGCATGATTTATAAACAAAAATTTGAAAATAGACATTTCATATTATTGAAATATAATAGTGTACTTCACATGACTTTTTTTTTAGTACAAGCAATAGTGTAAATTACAGGGGAGAATGATTTCTCACACACACACATACAACTATGATGTCACGGGGTTCGAACCTAAGACTTCTGATTTGCAAGTCAATGTCTTTTTTATACTTTACACTTCATCATTTCTTCGCTAGATTCTTTCCTTGATTGTTAACCATGGAATGATGGAAATGATCAACTTCTAATTATATTAATTACATGCCACTTGAGAAAAGTTAATTAATTATATAAACAATTAGTTGCAAGTTCATCAAAGAACGGCCACACGCTTGAAATGAAAACCCAGCCCATATCATATATATATATATATATATATATATATACATATATGATCAGCGGCAGACGATGTTGATGGTTTCAAGTCATGCTCTGACTCCCATTATTAATTGGAAACTACACGCAATGCAGACTTATTATTATTACCCAAACTCAAAGGCATTGCCTCTGAACTAAACTTTATCAATGCCGTAGGTCCATCCCATTGCATTGCATGCATTTAATTACCTCATTTTGTTATAGCAACTTGTCTTGGCCCTAGATTCAAAGTCTAGCTAGCTAGGGTTTGTCTTAATCCCCGTCTTCCCAAGTTTAGCTTATAGAGTTGAACAGGCCAAATAAGCTGACCCTTTGACCGATCTTCATGATTATACCCTCAAATTATTTTATTGAAAGCATGATTACTATTGTAAAATATATAACTACGTATTCCGATGCAAGCGATAGAGATGGAGACTCGAACACAAATCTCAAATGTAGACATAATTGCTCTTAACTATCTGAATTATAAGTCTCATTTGAATGATTCTTCACATAAATATAAATGTAAAAAATATAACTACGTACGTATATGTTTGAATGGTGTTTTATAATGCTTACCTTTTCCGTGTTATGCAGCAAAAAGAATAGCATATATTATTATTTAAAAAAAAAAAAAAAAAAAAAAAAAAAAAGAATAGTACATAATTTAAAACCAAAAAGGTTGGCCTTGAATTTATAAGCTTGTGGCTTGTGGCTTGTGGCTTGTGGCTTAATTTGTAAACCATTTGGCAGATTTGATGTTGATGCAATGAACCACATGTTAATTAAACGTCATTGCTAACTGCTTAGGAGTGGTTAATTCTTTGTTTTCCCACTGCTCCCAGTGAGTTATTATTGACTTTTCATTTTCGTGGGAAACGTACGTATAACTTACGAATTTGTATTGTACATATTGACTTTTATTTATGAATACGTATCGAACCAACAAAAGAAAGTTTTTTTTTTTTAAAGACAGATTAGAAAATAGACACGTCATTTTCATGTTTTCATATTAAATAATAAGGCACAACTTAACGAGTATGCCAACTTGATACATTTTAATTTTAAAAAAAAACTAAGTACGTGTTGAAGATTTAAGAGAATATCGGATATGAAATAATGGTCCCTTTTTTCTTGTGGATGCGTTCATATGTGCCAATTTTAATAGCGACAGTATCAATATTATATTTTATCTGATTCTGACATGGACGAAAATGCCCTTCGACTTCCCAAAATGAATGTCTGTACACTATATATTTGGTAGTTTTGAGATTGAAATATAAATTAATGATACATACAACTAATCTGAGGATTTCAATTTTTTTATTATTATTATTTATAACTTGATCACGTTTTCAAGCATGAAAAAAATATGGAGAATTTTCAAATTGAAATGATATGGGAACTAAACTTCCAGCCACTATCCTCCTCAGATCAACTCAATCATTCATTGTTATCAACAATAATTGTAATTATGTCATGGGACACAACTAGACCCATTTTCTCTTTTATAATTCTAAATTGAAAAACTAAAATAAACCCAAAAGAAAAGTAATTGACAATTAACAGTTTTCATATAAATTTTTTTAACAAAAATTTACAAAAAAACAAAATGGGAATATGGTCCTATTTCATACAACATAACTAGACACATTTTCTCTTTCTTAATTTTACAATAAAAAAAATTAAAAAAAGAACGAAGAAAAAAAAACCAATTGACGTGTGCCAAAGGCTAGTTGTGGATAACGACAAAAAAGAAAAAAGGAAAAATCAACTAAGCACACATAAGTCTTCTCTTTTGACTCTACCACAACAACACAAAACTTACTTGTAATGGGGATAACACTGTTTTGCTATCCCGGGCCAATAACATAATGATAAGTGGAAAAGTTATCTTACGTATTATTGTGTTATTGACCAAAGATAGCAAAAAGTGCTCCCGTTGCATGAGTTTCTCTCACAAACACTCGTAATTAAATAGATCATTAATAGGGACACTCATTCTTAGATTTTGGTCATATATATTTTTTTAGAACAAGCGATAGTCTAAATTACAGGGGAGAGGGAGTTAACATTCACACAACCAATACATTTGGTCTGCAAGTTAAGACCACTTTTCACTTGGTTAGACCCCATTGGTTCAGTCATAGTTTAGATAATGCATATTTTATAAAGTGAATTTTTTTAATAAATAAAAAAAGCAAAAATTTAGGTCCCTTAATAAAAAGTAGTCATTTATAAAATAAAAATAAAGATTTGCAAATTGAGACAAAATTTTAGACTCAACCCCTTCATGTATCAAATTTGACTAAAGTTGCAGATTTGGTATTTAAAAAATAGCTATTTTTAATGAAGGTTAGGTTTTTGCTAATTTGATTTCATACCAAGAAAATATGACATTATTATACATCTAAGGGAAAACTGGTTGTTAAAGTTATTTTTAATCATATTATCAATGATCTATCCGAAGTTGAAAGACATCTCAAGTTCAATGCTTTCCTTCTTAATTAATTAGAAGAAAACAATTATCTCTAATTGCGGAACCAAACCAAGTATCCCATGCATTTCACATGCTCTAGGCTTGGACTCAAAGGCAGATCCAGGAATTCTCCAGGGAAGAGGCAATATTCGAATGAGGGTTTAAATTTTTTTATAACTATAATGGTATAAAATTAAAACATATTAGGATCTTATGTCTATGACTAATTGACTATAGTCTATATGTTATTTCTATTAATATGAATAAAATGCATATAACAAAGGACGGATCCATGCTTGGGCTAGAGTGGGCTTTAGCCCAGTGTTGACTTTGAAGAGAGACAAATTAGGCTTAGTTGTTTAAGCTCAATTCAGAAAAATTAAATAATAGCCCACCACTTTTTCTAGAAAGCAGCCCATATCTACGGCCAAATACTTTAATACTTCAATTACTAATTTTTTTTTCTCTCTCTTTCTCTCTTTCTCTCTTCTCTGGTTTATTCAACTTTTGATTTGGCTCTAATAATGTTTATAACGATATATAATAAATAAATATATATTATAAAAAAACCAGAAGATAAAAAAAACACGAGATATAAAAAAAAACCAAAAGAGATAAAATACGAATACATAGTTTGCTATCGATTGGGCGTGTTGGCTATTGCAAGAGCCTAAATGCAAGGAGGCTTCTTTAATTCAATTCATATTGCAATTTGGACTCCCCTTTGTATTAATGGCAGTAGTTTCTACAGTGGAGGTTTTACAAAGGGATAATGGCAGCAGGTTCTACAATGGAGGTTTTACAAAGGGATAAACTTACAAAACGGCGTCATATTAAGAAAGGTTCTCCGCGTATTAATGGCAGCAGGTTGTATTACAACTTCATATTGCAGGTTCCATCTTTCTTTATTATTATTATTTTTTGCCCCGATCCAAAACGATGTCATTTTGGCCGGGGACTTTTTAAAAAAAAATGTGCACGCTATGCTACGCACAACAGCCCAGCAACATAGGCACATCGAACATAAAGGAGTTTTGCTTAGGCATTTCATCGAGCAGTTGGTGGGCACTTCCATGGCAGACTAAAGGGGCAAAAACTGTGACCTCCAAAGCGTTTTCCGGCGAGAAGAGGTGTAGCTGCATCTCCTTGTGTCTCTGTGGGTCCACCAGTGCTTTGACTAATTAATAAAACATTGTGCACTGGTCATTCACGTTAATGAAACAAAAGTTTGAACTTGAAGTGGTCATATCTCATCCAATTCACTGGCAGCATTGCATTGGCTAATATTTTAACATTTCTCATTATAGGTCAATGTATGAGCACTCTCCTCCAATATGGAAAGAATATGTGTAAAGCAATCATATGTTTATATGGTCTTTATCAGAAACAAGAGCCATACCCAAGCTTCAATTTTATTTTGATTTTTTTTTTTTTTTTTTTTTTTTTTTTTTTTTTTATATGAAAATTCATTACTAGGGAAGAATTACAATATGACAGTTACAAAGAGTAAGCTCAATATACTAATATAGAGATCTAGGCATA